CTAGTATGTTGCTGCTTGCATTGATGCTGCTCAAAGTTTAAGCAGCAAAGACGTCCTCGTTAAGTACTTTTCGCTGAGATTTAACATTACTTATGCACGTTTACAGTGAAGGAAAGTATCTCCGTATCTCCGTATCTCTATATTTTCAATTTTATATGAAACAAAATGTACGAAAGAAAAAGATATATTAAAAAGAAAGTAACTCAAATCAAGTACAAATCAATACTGAAATTGCAAAAAAGTATGTCTAGGTTAGAGCCAAAGGCAGATTGCAGTAGTGATGCAAAAGATCTTAAACTGTCAATGTTAGTTGAAGGAACGTACGTATATAGTTAAATTGTAAACTTTTGCAGTTATGTTGCACAAGAGTTCTCAATTATTTAAGATATTAAAACTTCATTGTTAATACTTTAAACTTTGAAATATTTTTAAAGTTATTAAAAAAAAATATATATTTAGATAAAACTTAAAACTCTCAGAATGCTGTAGTCGCTTAAGTAATAGCATGTAGATTGTTATTTTCGAATCTGATAACGAGGTCAAAGTCAATCACAACTGGCAAATTATTGTGTGTAATCTTGCTGATGAGCTCGACTACTTGCAAGGAGCGAGAGAAGAGTAAATAAGGACTCAACCGACTGACGCCTTAATTAATGGAAAACTTTTAAAATGTAATCACGTGTTTAAGTGCCTGTCAAACAATCAGACAGATAGACAGACAGACGTGCTCGAGTGTGCCAATGGACAGATTTCAATTTCTATTGTGAGAGGCAATCAATAATTTTACTATTATGCGTACTTGTCAATGGGAGAAAATAATAATAAAAATGACGACATGACTGCAATAATTGGAAACGGAAATTAAAAATTAATTAATGTGGATTTTAAATTCATTTTCATTTCCTTAAAATAAACAGTTTGCCATTAACAAATAAAAATAATTGATGCCAATTGTTGGAAAAACAATAAAATGGCACATAAATGAGCAATAATGGAAATGGAAGTCGATTTTATCAACTTCGGACATATCAAGAAAGAATAAATACCACGTAATTAAATAAAGAAATAATAAGTATTAAAGGGCATTCATTTAAGTACACATTGGCATTTATGGATGGTATATAATTTTATTTTATGTAGACCAAACAATGGAAAATTTACGATTATTAATATATTAAACTTGATGAGACTGGTTTTTGGATTTGAACCATTGAACATTTTTTAAAACGCTATATGTCTATATTTTTTGATAAGAAATCCATTTTCGGTTAGAGAAGCGGATAATAGTGAAAAAAGTTCGTTCATGTGCATATGTGGGTTTGGTCCTCCCAAACTGTTACGAATATTATTACTTGGTGTTCATGAGTTTCTAAATCCAATCTAGTACTCGCTTTACTGGAAGTTATTTATTGAGACTGTTTCTTGGATTGCAACAATGAAAAATTATTTAAAATGCTCTGAATCTAAATAAAGTTTTTATGTCTTTTGATAAGAAATCTATCTTCGAGTAAGAACTTCGAGAATCATAGTTAGAAAGGTTTGATCAAGTGAATATATGGAATGACCATACAGGATTTTTAAATATCATTGGTTGATATTCGCGAGTTTCACAATTCAATCCAGAATTTCCTTTACTAGAAGTTAATTAATTTCCAAAAAAAATGCAAGTCAAACATTTAAATTTGTTTATATTTATTTAATAAAATTTTTTTTTTAAATTGTGCAAGAAACTGAAAGAATCAATTAATAGCAAATGAAATATTTTTTATTATTTTTCAAATTTTTTTATGTGATAACACAAAATTTATTTAATTAAGAAGGAAGGGCTTAAAACTTGCGGAAACATACACACACACACACACACACTCACTTACATACACAAACCCACAAAAAAGTAATCATCTCCTTATAATAAATCATAATTAATTAGAAAGAAGAAAGTAGAAAGTAGGAAACGAACATGTATTCGTTTTTAATTAACAAAAATAGGCGCACATACACCCAAGCAGAAAGCAGAAAAACATGTCAACCCATATTACACAATTCCTGCGAAACTGTGTAGTTACACAACACAGGAAACAACACAAATCATTTAAAGCAACAGTAAAGCACATAGCCTGAGGCAAATTATGTCAAAGCAAAACAAACAAGACAATGTTTTTGGTGTAAGTCGACATGATTCCGAGAGTCCTTTATATTTCCTTTCGCCTCATTCACAAGTTCAGCGTGCAACCTTACAAATAAAATGGCTGCTTAATTCGATTTACGTTGAAAAAATGTAACTTTTTTAAATTACGAGATTTAAAGAATGTAGGTACCTATTCGTCTTCCCTTGGCTTTGCTTTGGCAACATTAAAATTTATCCGAAATGATCTGTGTACTTCCGGTGTCGTTTTCTCTAATCAGAATTAGATGAGCCAAAAAAGGAAAGAAGACGAAATTCCGACACTCTTATTTACTCAAGTAAAAACTCAACGCCAGCAACTGTTGTTACTGTTACTGACACTTTCAAGCCATTTCGACCCTATTTTGCGTGCCATAAACTTTTAATTTTGGAGCTGAACTTTTTTCCCGTGGAACTAAATTATGAAAAAATTACATTTAAATTTAAATTGTTTTGAAATATGATTTGGAAATTTGGAAATGAAATGCCTAATCCCTTGTTCACCCAGTTACAGTATTTCAAGGGAATCCTCATTATTATAATTTCTGATACTTGACAATTATATAAAAGTGCCTAGGAAAGAAGATTTAATTTGCTCTTTAAGAAACACGTTAGGAGATACTTTAAGAAGATTTAAGTTAACTTCCTGTTGAAACGAGAAGTTTAATAACCAATAAATTATGTAGTTAAATTAAGTCAATTAAGCAAATATATTTTTTATTTCAATTATTTTATTAAAATCCAAAAAAAAGTATAATTTAAAAGAATATTTCTTATAAAAGTCTTCCATTCACTTGGTATCTTCTTTGTAGTTCAGTTACTAATAAACGATCTCATGCAAAAGTTCTTATAGTTTGAGAGAATATTAACTAAAACCTGATTTCTTAGTGGAGTTTATTTAATAAATCCTCTTTCTGAAGACTAAATATAAGTATTCATATATTAAAACTACTGACAACTACTACCAAATAATATTACATGTAAATAATACAGTTAATAATAAGTGATTCTTTCTCCACTAACTTTTATAACATTAATTGTAATAAGATGAAAAGAATATAGAACGGATATAGAATTTAAATGTACGTTTAAGTAAATAAGTGTTTTGACTAAGCTTTCTTAACTTATTTTGAGTTAATCATTTATTATATGTCCGAGGACGGTCTGATATTCTTCAGCAGTATTGTTTGGTCGTTTCTGACAACAGGGATAAGTTGAACATTCAGTTTTTCAAAGCTTTTGAGATTTCACTGTAGATATTTCCAGATTTTTGGGACTTTTAAAGCGTAAAAATCATATCAATGATATAATCCTGTTTTTGTAACCTATATAGATCTATATAGCAAAAAACATGAATAGAATTATTATATGAATACATTAGAAAGGTCGTATGTAAAGTTAGATAAAGAATAAAAGGACAAGAGAGAAGTAATAGAGGAGGAATAAAGAAGCAGATAAGTCAAACTAACTTAAGTCGAGATGAAATACTCTAGATTTTTCAATAGGGTGGAGCTTAAGGTTGGTATGGCTTAAATTAATTAAAATTAAGTTATTTGCAGAATTTCAATTTTTATCACCCTCATATTTCCGTAAAGTTAAAGACTATAAACAAAAAATGGCGCAAAAACATTACTATATAAAATAAATCTATCCTAAAACTTGAAAAGTATAACCCATTAAGTAGCCAATATTGTTTAAAAGTTAGAAGTCCTATTAAGACTTATTTTTTGATTCTATGTGCTTAGTCTATGTTCATCTCAGAAAAATTGACTCCGATTTTTATATTTAATCAAATATTTTTATCTACATAGACCTAACTATCTTTCCCCATATCAATTGAAAGTGTCTTCATCACAGTTTTTTAAATTCCATTCTTAAAAATGCTAAATATTTAAGTTTTAATAATGCACTGCATAGATTTTATATTTACAAATGCACATTATTGAGATTGACTTTGGTCTTGTAAATCTCAATCAAAATTAAAACTTTTAGACAACATTGACATAAACTTTGTGGAAATATTGCAGCATAGCTCAGGCAACCGCTCAAAATTTGCGCTGAGCGGTTTAAACGCGGTTATTCCATATCACACACTGCGAAGCTTATGCCCAGCATATGAAATTCCCAACAGCATCATAAAACGAAAGCAACTACAAATACAACAACAGCAACATTACGAACAACATGAACTTTGTCCAGTAGCAGGGAATATACGTAGTACACAACCCCCAGTGCTGCTCGGTTACACCCAATCTGGGTAATTATTCAGAACAAGCGACAAGTTGTTATTGTTGTTGCTGTTGTTGCTGTTGTTGCTGTAGTTGTTCCTGCTACTACTACTACTACTACTAAGCCAACTACGACAACTACGACAGCTTCAACTTTCTGTTGCGGCTGTTACTCGTCGCTCTTTGCTTGTTGCTGCGCTTAAACCGCCAAAGTCAGCAGGTACTTACGGCAATTGTTGTTGGTCCTTGGCTTTTTCACCATTGCTGGGTTGTTTCACGTTGCTGTGCTCTGTGCTGTTATACGCAATTTCCAGAAAAAAAGTTTTGTTTGCAAATTAGACTTGGTTATGAGGCAGCGCTTGTAACAACTTTAATATTATCAACAACATTGAACTATTCAACAATACGTATAACTACAACAACCGACATTAGCAGCAGTAACAGCAGCAGCAGCAGCAACAGCAACAGTAAATCCAACAACGATATCACAACAACAGCAACGACGATAACAACGACACCGACAACAGCAAAAACATTAGCTTTGGGGCGTTGTGTTTAATGAGAACGACAGAAATTTTAGAAATAAATTTTCATTATGTAGGTCAGTCTTAAGTTGTTTCATTGTTCAGTTGTTGTTCCTCTTGTTGTTCCTCTTGTTGCTGCTGCTGTTGTTGTTGTTGTTGTTGTTGTTGTTCGCTTTGCCTGTTGGCATAAAAGTAGTTTAAGTAGTTATTGCTATTGTTTTTGGTATTCTGCCCTTCTGACTATACATATAGGAGTATTGTTCTAGTCGTGCTTTCCTCATAGCTTTCTGATGAAAGTAGCAACCGTGACGTCATGCATTTTACTGTTGCACTGCGACCCAGTTAAATATTTGCTTAAGTGTTGTTTAAATGTTGCCATTTATTGTTATATTTTCTTTCTCAATAGACATTTTCGGATTTGGCTAAAGATATTAGCCAAACACATCGGAAGCACTTAAGGTGCAAATGCAAAGCCGTTTTGGCATTAAAATTAGAACTTTTACTATACCATAGATATGGATGAATATATGGTTGTCTATTTGTGAGCTACATAGGTGTGAATATAAATATCTTGGTATTGAGAACGAATTTTACGTGCATTGCAAGTTAAATAAAGTTTTACATTTTAGCTCTACGTAAGTTTTGCAATCAGTAACAAATGGAAACAAAGGTCAATATTAAATACAGATTTTAAACACGTATATTCTTGCTATTGTGCTTGATGCAGTACCTCGAAATAAGAACTGGCAAGATAAGATTATAATTTATCCTTGCTATTGTTAAATTATATAAAAAATACACACTGCAATGACAATGCTCAAGATAAGTACCAAATGAAGTTACATAAAAACTGATTAAAATAATGTGTTTAAAGTAATAGAATTGGAACCAAAAGTAATTTCTCAACGACTGGTGACGATTGCCATACTATATTCATACAAATAATCAAACAAATCACGATAAGTGCTATTCTACGCAGGTGAGTACTTCACTTGATATGCAGTTAATCATCTTCAGAAGAGACAAATCCATAAAACATTTCATCAAGGCATTTGAACATCCCAGACATAAAAAATTAGAATAGATCTCTAAGCCCTGTTGTGTTAATAAAAAGTAATATAGAACCTACTTCATAGAGTTTTGCTGCCTCTTTCGTTAGAAGCCTATTTTGCATGTACTTAAACGCAAGCCATTCTAGCAGAACATGTGTGGTCGACTCCTCATTCTCTTCACACAGTCTACAATTTGCATCCGTATGTATACCCAGTCTTGTAAGGTAGTGTTTTAGTTTACAGTGCCCTATTAGGATTCCTTTTGATAGGTTCATACAATCCTGGTATCTCTTATTGTTGCAGGTACTAATAAGTAAATTGGATTGTGTTAATCGTGGTATATTATCCCAGCAAAAATATTAACTATGTTGAGTTGTGAAAAGGTCCAGTATACATTTAAAGTAGACTTTAAATTATTTGATTATGAAATATTTCTCAAATTAACTTGGTACTTTAACACATCGCATATAAAGGATGCTCACGGAGTAAGTATGTATAAGATTGCTCTGTAGAAAGCTCATTTGTTTTCAAAGGCAATATAGAGCGACTAATTAATATAATCTTACTTAACAACGTATATATTTCTTTAATTACTTTTCACTTATATATTGCATTAATTTTATTCGCGTTCTGCTATCACATGCTTTTCTAAGAAAAATATTCTCATTTTAATAAAACTTCAATAAAATTACAACGCAGACACCCGTTCAATAATATCTAAATGTACAAGCGAACACTATCAAATCTTCATTTCTGAGCCCTACTATGAGATGTTAAGATGTTATTTGTATTTCCGTGATGTTAAAAAAAATATTGAAAACTTTAATTAAAGCTGAAAACTTTATCCTGCCGCTCAGCTCAGGCAAATGGCAAATGGCAAATGTCACAAATTCATAAATAATAAGTCGAACGTTCTCTCGCAGACTACGCAAACAGAAGTCAACAGATTGTCCAATTTCCGTTCGATTTTGGTTCATTGAATTGCGTTATTTGCTTTTCCACTTTAATTCATTTATATTCATTTTTTATATTTTTTATATATAATTTTTTATTTTTTATTAGTACAACTTTTTATACACTTGTAATGTATTTCATATCTGTCCACGGGCAGCGAGTATTATTCGTTTGACTTTCCGTTTTACGTGGCGAGTGCAAAAAGTTTTAGTTGCTTGCCCATGACTGTTAATTAAAAATGTACAAAATGGCTACACCCATAGTAATAATGAAGGTAGAAATAAAAAAAAACATCGATTTATATATATCCTTAAAGTTGTCAAATCAGCGCATAAAGGAAGCTCAGACTCTTTTCCTGCATTAATTTGACGACGAATGAAAAATGATTTATCCATAACATTTCAAATATCATTAATTGAAATTCTAAACCAAAATCCAGGATGCCTTTTTCTAGATATTTCGCGTCAGATGAAAAAAGAGAGTAACTTTTTCCAAACAATTTTATTTGTTATGTTCCAATTTTTCAGCGAAGAAAAATTTATGTTCTTAGAAGAATAATATTTTTTGACGATAGTTCATTAAATTTAGCTATCAAATGTTTGTACAGCAATTGAGCAAAAATTGTCTAAAATTTAAACAATTTTTTATTGAATTAAGACAAGTAATAATCATTAAAATTGCATGTAAGTTGTGACACACATTGATAGACCGAAGGATATCGCCACTGGGATGACAATACAAGTAACAGCCAAGATGAAATACTAGTTTGTAAAAAGTATAGAAATTAACTTTATAATAAGCCATGTAACGCATTATATTATTATCACGTTTAATAAGCGATTCACTTGGTACACGCACCTACAAGTCAAATGAAGTAGTTGCGCAAAAATACTGCAAAGCCTACAACCACTTTTCAAACACCACCACCTTAGCGTGAAGAACAGAAAGCTAATCTATAGCCAGATAATCAGACCAGCACTACTATGTGGGTGTGTCGCGTGTAGCAAAGATACCGCCTCTACTATCCAGATGCTGCAAGTTGCTCAAAGTCAGGCTCTCCGAAAGTACCATGGTACATTCGCACAAATGGCATACTAAGAGACCTTAGTATGACCTTAGTATGACAGAGACCGGTCCAAAAATTCATAAGGGCCAGATCCTTGAAGCTATATGCAAAAACCGACAGCCTACCCTACTTAGCACTATCTAATCTCAGAATAATCACTAACCGTGCGGGGCAGTACGCAGATCTTAGATCAGTATACATCAGGAATACACAAATTAGTGAGTGAGATGGGTCTGACTCTACAGAAACCTCCCAGCTATCAAAGAGTAAAAGTGCCCTAACTCAAAAAAGGCTCAACAATATATTATTACATGTATTTTCTCTAGAAGGTAGTTTTAGAAGAGATTATAGTATGTTGCGCTTACCTGGAATGGAGTATGACTTCTAATCACTTTATTTATAAGAAATATATTTATATGACATGAAACATCTAGTTACATTCTTGGTGAATTCTTGTCACATTTCTCATAACTTGTAATCATATTACCTGTAAATTTTAGCTACATTCTTCATGATTTTTATTCATATTCTTTGTGTTCTAGTCACATACCTTAAGACTTTTAGTAACATTCCTCGTGATTTCTTTTCACATTTAGTGATAGTTTAGTCATAAAGTATTCGAGTTAACTGAAGCTAAGGTTCACTTCATTGTCATAGAAAACAGAATAGAATGAAGGTGCGTTACAGCGTAACAACTAATATTGTGACTTCAATAAAAATACAAGATTAGTCTTTCGAAAGACTAAGAATAAGTCAAGGACAGAAATCATATTATTTACTCTTTAAAGAAAATAAAACACGTAGAATGGTATTTTTTATTTTAATATTAAAAAATAATTTTCAATCTGTATGTTACACTTCTTCGCATTCCCTTACTATTTTTCTGAAGATATATTTCAATCGCATTCTGTGTTGAAATATATTTCAACTCACAACTAAATCTGCCGATGTACGCGTTTATGTGATGTTATTTATTCTCATTTTTTGTTAACACATCAATGTTTATAGTACTTCAGTATGAACTGCTTGTACTGAATAAATCTGCATAAACACTTTCCCCAGCATAATGGCCCAAGGAATTTGTTACATTCGAATGACGTTACTAATTTTCAATTTACGCCTTTTTCCATCTTGAGTAGTTAAATGAATAAATAATGATGATTCACTTGTGCAGATTTGATGTGGTTCCTGACTTTCGCATTTGTATGGATACTCAAGGCATAAAGTAGTTTTCCATGAGAAAGCTGAAAGTAGCTATTGGCGGGCAAGATGTTGCTAAGGATATGCCGAAAACTCAATATTTTCTTCCGTTTTATTTTTGTTATTAGCTGTTTACTTTTTGTTCAGTTTGTTGTTGATATTCTACTCTGTAGGCTAAGCTAACATCCTTTTCAGTGTATATTTTTGCAATTTGCTGGCATGCTTAGCTGTTGGCTATTTTCTGAAGTTAATTTTTATTTACGAGTACTAACCATTTTTTTCCTACTTGAAAATGACAGCTGGTTAAAGTATTATTTTCTTTACAACATGATATTTATTTTCTTTTAACCACTCCTTTTTTCCCATGTTTTCTTAGCCATTTTTTACATTTTTTCAAGTTTCTCTGTTTTTGGGTTTATTTAAATACACTCAATTGTGTTTATATGTAATACTTATATATATTTGTAGTATACTTGTATATATACAAAATTATTTGATTATAAAAATTCGAGTTTTTATTAAATTTTATCTACTATAACCAACTCTATTAGAGCTTCAACCCTGTAGTGAATTTGGTTTTTTTCTACGAACAACAAGATTTAAGTAATCTGCCCGGTTCTTATGTATGTCTACCCTATATGATAGGCAATTATATTGATCCACATACATATTTTAATTACTTTCTTAAGCGTAAAATGGAACTGTTTTTATTATAAACCTTCAGGCTCAAGAAAGTAGCATCGCCGTGAACATACATTCATTCATCCGGAGATATATCTTACAACTAAATGACGCTCCTACCTTTAATTTCACTACCATTTTTTAACTTGATTTAATTATAGCTATGTGGTCGGAAATTTCCAATATCTCTCACTCTTTTTGTAACAGTTGCAATCTGATTCTTCTAACAATTTCATTTTTAATCGCAGTTTTAATCGCGAACAGAATCATAGAGTTCATATCATAAAACCCTCTGCTTTATTACGGTTGGCTAAACAATCTCACATAATAAAGATTAAATTGGATTAGATCAATAAACTCAGCGGAGATACATTTTTTTGTTTCTTTTTTTTTTATTAACAATATGTCATTATTGAATCGCTTTATTTTATATAAACACACTATAATAAAATATATAATGATTTGTAAATTATTTCAAGGGGCTTCTGAATAAGTAGCTAGAGCTTATTTACTAGATATACCGGCGTTTAAGTTGAATTAATCAGGATGATCTTTATGAAGGCAGGATGGCGAGTCTATCATTCCGTTTCAGTTTAGAGAAAGTTTTTATATTAGCAAGAGGTCTAGCCAGCGGATTCACATGGTTTCCAAGCTATTAAATATGTTTCTATCTTATTCTCTCGAACTCGACTTTAACCATCGGAGGAGATAAGAATGTTAATTTAATTATCACAAACCACTTAAGCAACAGTTTCAAATACCATTTCAAACGTTACCACAAACATCTGCAGTCATATGAGGAATGCAATTTTATATCAGTGCTTACAGAGCATTTCATCAGATTAGTATCAATTAATGAATTTTTCTAATTTAAAGATATAAAATTGAATAACAATATTGACATATTTCAAATCTCCATAAATGTATTTTTGTAAAAAATATCTCCGAGCTACGGGTACTTGAAACATGAATTACACAACCTTGACATGCAGTTTTTCATGTCAATTGATTTTCGACGGTACTTCACAACGTCAATATTTTCATGTTTTGTTAGAGAGCGATTTTAGCAAAACACAAATATTCATACATCAAATAATTTATTTTTATTTTAAGTTTTATTAAAAAATAAAATTGTTGGGTGCACTAATTGAAGTGTAAAATATTGAAGTTTGTTAGCATAAATAACCAGCGGTGGCATGCAGTTGCAGTTGCAGTTACTCATCTCTCGTAGGTTAGACGGCGCTTACTTGATTTCATATGACTGACTGTAACTTCAATGGTTTTCGAGTTACTGACTGTGAAAATTGCAATTCTGTTACACATATGCATATACCCACACACATACAAATATGAGCACATACAGATAGAAAGCAATTCGTAGCAAGTAAGTATTTTAAGATAAATTGTGTCATGTCCTTGCAGTCATTAGTCAGTATCATTTATTTTATAAATCATAAAATCAGTGCCATAACAAAATTTGACAGATAAAACAAAATTTACCAAAAATTAAAATGAAAGATAAAAACTAGATGTGATGCTGAAATATATATACATAATTTATTTATAATGATTGCATATATCTACTCGTATAACAATACAATGATAGGTGAGATAATATCCATACATAAAAACAAGGCTTTCACGTCAATTATTCTATTCAAGTGTCTATCAAACAATCACCGAAGAACACTTCGGTGGTAAAATTTAACAAAATATTTTGGATAAAAATGAAAACTGGCAGTCAACAGCACAAATGAACCAAAAAAGTGGTCGCAATTTATTTTTTTTATTCACGTTTTTATTCGACGTGAAAATACTATATATGACTATAATATCATGTATAGCATATTTGCTTTCTTTCGATTTTCGTTTTATTTTTATATATATTTCCAGTGCACATTTTGCGTTGTTTTAAAAATTTTAAATGAAATTTGTAAAGCCACCAAGACCCGAGTAGAAAGCATTCAATAGTGCATAAAATATTAAAATAATGCAAACATTTTATAAATTCACGCTTCACTGCGGATTTTGTGCTTTGAAGTACATTTAGGCAAAAACAATAGAAAAAAGGAAAAATATACATTTTAATTGTACGTGAATAA